GAAGGGAGCTTGGACAGGCAGTTTTTCTCTTAGGCCTGCATTCCTGACAGCTGCCTAGTACCTTTTTCTCAGACTTGTTACATTCATGTCAAGATATATAAATGCCTTCTCTTTTTTTGCTCCTTAACTACTGCACAGTCTTTCAATTTTTTAAGCAAAGAAAGATAGAAACCATATTTTCCATCATCTATAGCGGAAGCTGGAGTTTTCCCCATACAAGGAAATGGTTTCTTGTTATCTGAAGATGACATCTCTATTTTACAGTAAAAGCCTCCATTCTCTTTTTTTTTTCTGTTATTTTTACTCCCTCCATCTCAAAGCTGAACTTATCGAATAGCTTGCAAAGAAAAGTAATAAAAGAAAGATGGTTTTGCTCTGTTTCCTGGCGACCAACACCACTGAGACCCCAGGTAGCATTACGATGGCTAATTCAAGACAGAAACAATCTCCATTACAGTTAAGTGGCAAGAGAGGATGCAGCACTAACCTTGGCACAGAAAATCCTTGCCAGAGCTGCCTGCTCTTCACGGCAGAATTCACAGTGATAGAGGAATCTCTTTTGAATATGAGAAATTACATTCCATGCATGTTTATTTGGCTTTTGGGGGGGGATTTCCTCTACTAAGCTTAACCATGTTGGCTCTTGCATTACCCTCTTTATCTGTAAAAGCATTTAACAAAACTCCCTTAATCCAGGTCTAATACAAGAGGACACACTGTGGCTCCTTTAACAACTCCCAGAGAAAGCTGGGTATGTTGTCTTTGCACTTACCTCAAACTGCCTCTACCCTTCTCCCGAACAATGTACCCCTGAGGGTGGGGAAAAGTCCTTGTACAAATAACATGATACTTGAAGAGAGAGAAAGGACTTTAAAAGTGGCACGTACTCCCCTAGAATACCAAGCAGAATAAAGTTTATGTCAGCCTGTGGGAATGAAGAAGGTCATACAGGTCTGGGCTACTTTGGAGGCCTGATAGAAGGAGGAGATCAAGGAGCAGTGATGGGAATTGATTTCCTGGTTCAGACTAGAGGTGCCTCTAAATCAGTACAGAACACTGCAGACTGGCAAGGGCTCCTGGTGGCTTCTCATTAGAGACTCCCTCCATACATGCAATAGACCCAGTTCCTCAAAGGCATTTAGGCACAAGGCCAAGGCAATGAGGTACTTCTCAAGGCTAACCACATTGCCTTCACTGAAAAACTCACACCAAAACCATGTTAGAAATAGTGCAGAGTTCAGATATTCCCTAAGGAGCCAGAGCAATAGAAATGCAACAGGAAGAGAGCTTCCCATCCTTGCCATTACTGAATACCAAACAGAGAAAAATGCAAGAAGCCCACAGGGATATGTTGTCTTCAGTCCTGTCAGTCACAAATGTGACAGCTGGGACCTTTAAAGACTGTCAAAGGAGGAAAACCAAGGCACTCCAAATGCCAAGTCTGTCAGCAGCATAATTAACATGTCATATATGATCTGCTCAAAAATGCAGCACTTACTGCATCTCCAACAGACAATTAAAAATGCTGCTCAGCCGGTAATTCCTGCACCTTGCAATAATGTCTAAGTTACTGAAAAATCAAGAAAAACACAAACTGTAGTGTTTGGGAAGACAGAAATCAGTTTGTAGCCCATAGGGGAAGGCAAACTAATCTGCCACAGGGGCTGCTGCTACTCCCACTCCAGAAGACTGCCTCTGGAAACATGTACCCACTAACCTGAAAGAACCATTTTGAGGCAGGTGGCACAAAGCACCAGGAAAAAAGGGAAGATTCCTCTCCCCCATCTCTGGCAGCATATCTCGGACAAACAACTGTGAAGTGATGAGCAACAGAAAGAAAAATCCCATATTGTGAAACCCAGTCCATACAGAGAGGCATTGCAATTCTTTCCCTTCACAGACAAAATGGATGTGCATGGTTAAGTGAAGGAGGGTCCTAGTTAAGGTAAAATACTTGGAGCAACCTAGATGAAAGCTCAGGTTGAGAAAAAACTAGGGTGTTTTTTTTTTTGAAAATGTAGATGTGTAGCCATCATGACTGATCAACATGACCAGGCCAAGGACAGCATCTGAACCCATTATTCAAACATACCTGAGCAAACTTGCTGTCACATTGCTTAGAAGTACAGTATTGCTGCTAGCATGGGCTCTTCCACAGCTGATCTCTGATACACAGATCAGGAAAAGCACTGGAAAGGGAAATTCAGAGGGTGAGGTCCAGTGTTACTGTAAGGAATGATGGACTCGTATGGACTGGGTGAGACATGGGGAAAGAAATAAAAGGCAGGCATGCAAAAAAAGGAAAAAAGAGCTTCAAAAGTGGTAAGTCTGGTAAAACAGTAAATTTTTACAGAATGTAACAATTACCAATGAAGACATACAAAGAAGTTTTATCTATAGACTGACAGAAAATTTAAAATCATAATAATATAAAAATAATATATTTATGCACAATAAATAGATCATTTCTTCTCCTCTTTCAGATTGACTTAAAATGATGCAAGTTAAGAGTATCTTACAAATAGCAAAGAATCGTAGTTTATAAAATATTTGTGAAGTAAGTTTTCCTTGCCGGTTCCTATTTCTGAACAAGTGATTTGGAAAGAAACCTCTTCAATGATACCTCTGTCTTCTTAACAATAGAGAACCCATAGTCCAATTCTTGTCTCAACATTATGTTCTTGTCTCAATAAACAGAAAAGACCCTAACCCTATGGTCTGCCAATCAGTTCCATTAAACAAACCAGTTTTATCAGCAGTTCCTACATCAGAACAAAGGGAGAAAAAGCAAAGCAGAATAAAAGATGTGAGATACACCTTATATTCCCGATGACTGAAAAGTAGTTTCTGAGCCATGCAAAGAGCTCTCGACACCCTGATCAGATGGAGACAGGATATAGCACTATCTGAACACATGCTTAAAATGCTTTGGAGAGAAATAGTTATATCCAAGCTGCTGCTGTAGGCAGGAGGTTCTTGCTGAGATTATAATCAGCTGTGTGAATGAGCACAGAGACAAACCACATTTGGCTAGATGAGTTTTTGTTAAGACCTGCCAGTGATACAGGAAAGAAATAAAATTGCCCTTATAATGAAAATGGTCTCATTTGCAGCTCTCTGATAAGTAGTATTTATCATGAATCTTTGATTCCTCATGCTGCTATTGCAGTTCCTCTGGGATGACATTAATGTACCATTCCTCCACGGCTCCTACTTAACCAGTGTCTGCTACAAACTGGATTTTCACCCCTGGCCTGTGGAATTTCTTGAATTATCTGATAAGAGACAGTTTCAGCCATGATCACAGCAGGTCCAGGATTCTGCCCAAACATTATAATAAAATGTGGGTCAACTGCGCTATACGCAGTAGTGTGAAATAAGATAAGGGTTTTACTGAAACTTCTTTACAGAGACATATAAAAGTTGATAAGAGCTTCATCATTCAGTAGAAGCACACTCATCTCATGCAATCAAAATCATCAGAAGTGATTTTACAGAAACGAGTATGTATTTTTAAAAAGTTATATTTAACTAAGGTCTAGCACCAGACAAAAAATGAATATTTAAGAAAGTGAGACAGCAGCACATTTTAAAAACCAACAGTAATAATTAGCACACACTAGCTTATATTTTCAAAGCATTTTATAAACACATGTATTAATTAAGCCTCACAACACCCTTGTGAGATAATTACGTACTATTAGTCCCATGTTAGAGGTAGGGAAACGAGAATGGAGCAAGTATGACCTGCTCACCACTACGCATGCCAAATCCAGGTACAGAACACCAGATTTTCCATTTTTTTGCCATATGTGGTCTGCTCTCTTAAAAGATGCTGGTCTTTAATTTAAATTTGTTTCCTCTTATTCCTTTTAAGAAACCTGTACTTATTTCAGTCTGATCTGAAAAGGTACTCCCCAAGAGCTATTCATAGAATCATAGAATGATTTGGGTTGGAAAGAACCTTAAAGATCATCCAGTTCCAACTCCCCTGCCATGGGCAGGGACACCTTTCACTAGACCAGGTTGCTCAGAGCTCCATCCAACCTGGCCTTGAGCACTTCCAGGGATGGGGCACCCATAGCTTCTCTCTGGGCAACCTGTGCCAGTGCTTCACCACCCTCACAATAAAGAATTTCTTCCTAATATCTAAGCATAAACCTACCCTCTTTCAGTTTAAAGCCATTCCTCCCTGTTGTACTACTATGTGCTCTTGTAAAAAGTCCCTCTCCAGCTCTCCTGTAGTCCCTTCCAGGTACTGAAAGGCTGCAATAAGGTCTCTCCAGAGACTTCTCTTCTCCAGGCTGAACAACTCTCTCAGTCTGTCTTTATAAGATAGATGTTCCAGCCCTCTGATCATCTTTGTAGCCCTTCTCTGGACTCACTCTATTATGCTGGGGGCCCCAGAGCTGGATGCAGTACTCCACATGGGTCTCACGAGAGCAGAATAGAGGGGAGGAACACCTCCCTTGACCTACTGGTCATGCCTCTTTTGATGCAGCCCAGGATGGGGCTGGCTTTCTGGAGAAGTTATCAACACATTCCAGGAACCTCCTGAATTGCTTATGCCCTGCTGTGTTGTCCCTCCAATAGATATGGGGATGGTTGAAGTCTCCCATGACTACCAAGGCTTGTGAACACAAGGCTGCTTTTATCTGTCTATATACAGCTTCATCCACTCAATCTTCCTGGTTGGGCAATCTGTAGCAGACCTCCACCATAATGTCACCTGTCTCTGCCCTCCCTTAATCCTGACCCATAAACTCTTGGTTGACTCCTCATCCATCCCTAGGCTGAGCTCCATGAACTCCAGCCAGAGCTCCATGCACTCCAGCCAGTCATTGACACAGAAGGTGAGACACCTCCGTGCCTGTTCTTCTTAAACAGCCTGTATCCTTCCAACACTCCAGTCATAGGAGTCATCCCACCCTGTCTCTGTAATGCCAACAAGATCACAGCCCTGCAGGCATGTGCACACTATTCAAGACAGACAACCAGAATTAGGAAAGAACATTTTTATAAACTGTGTGTTGCTGGAAGCTGTTTAACAAAAGACTTGGCATAGGTACTTCCATACTGCCAGAGTCAGAGTGCTACTTCTCATCAGGCACCTGCCACCAGGAAACTTGCTCAGGCCTATCTGCAATGCTGATACACCTCAGAATCTGCAAAAAAGTAAGCTTTCTTTGCCAGTTCCAAACAAGAAATCTCTCTCTGGCAGGGGGGTCTTCTCTAAGAAGAACTCATATGAGTACAACTGCACTGAAAACCAAGAAAGATTTTTATCAAGAGACTCTAAAGGTGAAGCCAAGGGCACAAATTTATGTCAGAAAGTGTGGAAAAGTTCATATATTGTGCTCTGTATTGAGAGATGGTCTGCAGGCATCAAGTATCCCGGAGGCTTGAGGAAAATAATTCTCCATAGTCACTTTGAGAAGACAAGTTCCCTTAGTATATCACTCTTGCACTGAACTAGTGAATGACAGACTAGGATTAAAAATTCCAAACCATCTGAAAGTTCAAGTCAATGGATCTAACTGTCAAATTTAACTCTATAAAAATGTCAAATCTGGCAGATCTACTGCTACGTGTTTGCAAACCCAGACCCAGGTGTTAGTGAAGGCATGGAGATAAAAATAGTCCTTTCATCTTCAGTTACATATGTTCATTAGACACTATCCGGAGTTCAGGGAGTTAGTTTCATGACAGCTCAATCTGAAGATCCTCCCCATACTTTCGGATTAGCTTCATGTGGTTATGATCCACTGACCATTGCTCTGGGAGGTGCTTGGGCTGCATACTGTCCAAAAAGTGCTGCCGCCAGCGTCTTTCCAACTGCATAAGGGAGCGCAGGCCTCCTTTAGCAAAACACTGCACCACCTTCAGTCCATGTGGCATGTAGCTCTCATTGCAGACCCTGCCAAGATATAAGCAGAGTTTAGTTTTAGTCTCCAGTGAACACCAAGACACTGAAGATACTTTCAGCTGCAGAGTTTAATTACAGACACATGGTAAGCTAACCAAGAGGGAGAGTTTTAAGCTCTGCTTCAATGCCAGACTGCTTTCCAGAACACAGTTACACTGTGAAGCTGGTTTCTCTGAACTGAGAGTGTTCTTCTTTGACAGCAACACTAAACAAAGCTCTTTAGGTCCATTACATGCTCCTTAGGATACAGACTGCAAATTTCTCAAGGCAAGAACTGTATGACCCTCCAGATCCTGCCACTGAATTCTCTGCCTGGATAGATTCTGAGTTATAAGATTGGCATATTACAAATAACAGTGAGCATAAAAAGGAGAAAATACCAATTTCATGTAGACAGAGATTAGATACTCATTAAGAAAAGGTATTTGGGGAGGCTTTGAGAAAGTGAAGAATTCCGATATAATTGTCCTTCAACCTCTCTTCCTGATCTGTCCTTCAAAAGAAGTATAAAGTGTTGGAGGGGAAGATGAAGAGCAAGAACAGAAGATGCTGGAAGAGGAAGGGAAAGAGGGGAAGAAACAAGAGCTGCAGTTCACAGATCACTGCTGGGTTGCAGGGAGAAGCGTGTAAACAAAACCAAAACCAGTAAGAAATGCAATATAAATTACCAAAATCTGACACCTACTGATGGGCTTGTTATACCTGGTTTCCAGACCAGCTGCTTCCTGGAGCATCTCTGGTGTGACTGCCTCTGTGTTAAAGAAGTCCTTGATGCTTTGCAGAAGCTCTGCCCTTCGGGGGTCAGGCAGGCTGTCCGCATTCAGCAGGGCTCGCGCTCCCGAGCGCACTTGCCTGCGCAGAGGGTCCTCCAGCAGACGCACACCTTCCTCGGAGCCGATGGGGGCACCGAACTCCTCAGCCAGCTGCTGCTTGAGATGGTTGTCATAGTAATTGGAAATGGCATGGCAGGATGTGCAGAGTAGGAGCACATCATGGGAGTTGTGGTCCTTCATCTGGATGGGGAAGTGTCTTCGGTATTCGTGAGGAACAACATTCTTCCTAGAGAAGACAAAACAGACAGTTCATTACATTTGTCTGGAGCTGCTACTCCTCAGTTACTCCTCTTCCTGGTCTAGAAAGTGTTACCTAAAACTTAAAGTCCAGGAAAACAAAGATTACCAGGATCAAGATCTTAGTACAGCAAGACATTATTTTTATTCTTTTTATTTGTAGTTGTCTCTAGAGGTTTTCTGCATTTCCCTTTTTTCCCCTTCCAAAGATTCATCCCTTTCAATCAAAAAGAAAAAGATTCATACTGTAAAAAAAAAAATAAAGTAATGCTCTATGAGAAGTATATTTCTCAACTAATCAGTAGCAGCTGCAAAGACAAAAATCTTGTTCCTTTTGACCTCATGAGCTTCAGGCTCACCTAAACCTTTCAAAAATATAAGGATTAATTAGTAGAAGGACTAGAACAACTATTTTCAGAAGAGGACACCGCTTGAACAGTGTGTATCAGCACACTGCTGCCCCCCTCATTCAAACTGTAGCATATACATGTTCCATGAGAGCTTTGCTCTTCCTAGGATCGATATCACCTTCCCCTCAGAGAAAAGGCCGGTCTCTTCACTTTCAAACTTGCCCAGTCACATACAACTACAGAGCATTCAAATAGTGACAGCTCATCCAGGACATGAATAGGCATAATGTTTCAGGCCACTAACCAAGCAATGGATGCCAAACTAGATGCAGACCTCAGTTCTGTTTTAAAAGATGCAGTTTTTCCGTGTCCACTAAACAACTCACCGGATATAGGATTCTCGCTTGCCACATACAACACACAGGTTTTCTTTGACTGTCAGATAATAATCAACTTGAGACTCAGGACGTCCGGAAGGCTCAAACCGCAGCTTCACAACAAAGGGGTCTGTGCTAACTAGTTCTAAAAGGGTAAAGGCAAAGAGAGAATATTCAAAACAAATTTGAATTTGAAAGCTTAAATAACAATGCTACAATGTAAGAGTCATCCTAGCAAATCCCAAACAGTATTTCCAATAAGAGAGGATACAAAACATTCATGCTCCATTATCTAAAAAACAAAGAAGAGAAGAGAGAAGAGAGGAGAGAAGACAAGCTGTATTTCAAATACCACCCAAAAATCTGGTATGCCTACCTCCAATCCCCTTGTCCAGATACCACTGAGCCTTCTTGCGATCACAAGTGCACAGGGGTTGTCCATCTGGTGCATGCAGGAAGCAGTTGTCATACAGTGGAGATTTTCTGTGAAACAAGGACAGCATTACAGCAACTATGATAGCATGCCAAAAAACCCCAGAGCTCTCTGTAGCCATTGGTGCCACATTCCAATTCACGCAGCCTCCTCCAAATCACAGGAGTGCCCCTAAACACACACTTGAGGCTGCTGAGACTGCACAGGCTGCTGGTAATGGAAGCAGTACATCTAAAACTTACCTAGGATTTACTAACTCTAAGCTATCTTTGCTCTCCTGCTGCCAACAGAATTGTAACTCTGAACCCCAATTTTCAAGAGATGCCATCAATTATGACAGCCTTTAAAAAAATTAAATTAGAAAACAAAAGAAAATTGAAGTCACAAAGGATGATGAGCCAAGAGTAAGCTCAAAGAGAGTGTCAACTTACTGGCGAGGTAGTTTCAAGGACTGGCTGCCTAAGGCTGTATTTAAAACCTTTATTAAGAAAAATTTTCTAAAACTTAGTGTGAATAGCAATTACTTCACTTACCTAAGAGAAATGCTCCAAAAAGTCTCCAAAAGTTGGGGACTCAAACACATGAGTCCATGAGAACAACAAAGCTGAGCTGAGGCCCTCAAAAACAGGCCCCAACCTATGGTAGGGACAAGAATTTCTGGTGGAGCAGTCTCTGGTGGTTTGCGGCAGTGTGTGGAAGGGCACTGTTTTGGAGAAAGTGTTTCCTTACTCTGCCAATCTCCTTCAAACAAAACTGAAGAGTGGACAGATCGGGCTTAGAGAGGACCTGGTTGGAACTGGCCAGACACATCACAATACACTGAGGAAAAGTTTCTTCTCTCCAGCGAGATTGTACAAGCTGTAGTCAGCAGAGCTGTACCAGCTAAAAGGTACAGGCTATATAATCTGACAGAAGGATTTCTTCTGAGGTCCATGAGGGGAAAAAACCCCAACAAAACAATGATACAGGAGGTCCCTTCCACTGAGCAGTTCAACAGCTCAACTTAGTCACCATGACAATTTCAGTACATGCCAACTTTAAATTAATAAACATTAAAACTAAACAGACTTAAACAGAAAGGAAGAGTGGAAAATTACTTTTGAAACCACATCCAGTGTTACTACAGACCAGAGCCACACTGCTGTAAATACTATAAAAAACATTGAGTCTACAGATCTCTCAAGAAGTCAAGCGCAGTTAAAAACAAAAAATAAATAAACAAATATGGGGAGATCTCAATTTAACTCGGAAAGCAATTTTGTTTAAATTTTAATCCTCCCCTGAGACGCAGTACTCCTGTTTTGCATGACACAGCCTCCCAGTAAAAAATTAAAAAAAAAACCTGGAAGGACTTGCTACATAAAACACAACATTGTTAATGACTGCTAATGAAATCAATATTATTGACTACATTAAGATGTCTCCATTGCCAATCCAATAAACTTAAAAAGGAGAAAACAAATACTAAAATGTCTGGCTTTCTTTCCCAATGATAATTACATACAATTTTAGTTCATATATCCAGTGACAAATTTTATTAGACTGTATCCCAACAAAACCAAATATACTAGTTCCCCACATCTTCAACTGCACTGCTCTTAAAGAGACTTCTCCAACTAGTTTTGAACTCTCATTAGCAAAAGCCCATAAGAATTTAGGATCCACTCCCAAAAATCACCTGCAAAGACAGTGATCCTGAATCCAGCAACAGCTGCCTCTGCAAGTCCAAAGTAGTACCATTCCCTCCTCTCTCTCCCAGGCCAACAGAGGGGCTACCACAGACTGTTCCTTCCTGTGCCCTCTGGTACCTCAGCTTTCATCTCTGCTCAGTACTCTGCCATCTCTGTGGCCATAGTGACATGGGACAGCAAAGTACAAACAGCAGTCCACAAGGCAGATCCTGATAAAAGGACAAGCTCTATGCAGTTGCCACCTTTTCCCTGGAGGAGAAAAGGCACAGCTGCCAAGTCAGCAGAATCATAGAATATGCTGACTTGGAAGGGACCCATCAGGATCATCGAGTCCAACTCCTGGCCCTTTGCAGGACACCCCAGGAATAACACCTCCTGCTGGGACTCTTCTCTCTGGCTAATGCTTCCACAGGAGAAGGAAGGGTAAAAGTGGAAGACAACATTTTAACTTGTTCATGACCTAGTACAGATCCAAGTGCTGCCCCGCTTTTAATACCTAGAGAGAAATGAGGAACACAGAAACAGGATCTGGCTCCCATGACTGTTAGGTCCTGCATTTCCTTTCTAGCTCATATTACCCACTTTGTTTAATGAATAGAGCAGGAGGCAACATTCAAAGTTTTCCATCTGCGGTGCAAAGAGTAAAGTGTGCTCATATACTTACCGTGCAGAATATCCCACGCCCAGAGGCTTTCGCTTCTGCCTCCGTGGATCTCTCACTTGATGATTGCCAGAGGGCTGGCCATTCACCCAAGATTTCCGATTCTTTGTTTTCTGAGGGGAGTGTCCATCTCCACTCTTCTCCTCTCCTGTGCTGCCACTCTTTCTTCCTCTAAATGGGATATCCACCAAGCCCCGGCATTTACCCAATGCTTTTTCCCAAGCAGCGACAGAGTTTTCACCTTCAGATGTAGCAGGGAGGCCAGCAAATCCCAGCAAATGGAGGAACAGAGCCACTGAGACCTGGGCATCCCTAGCAGCATAGAGAATCTGCAGAAAAGCACAGACAAACAGCATGGATATGGACAGATAGATACGGACAAACAGCAAATACTGCCAAACATTATTAGTCTTCAACACTTGGTACAGTAAAGCCAGAAGCTGCATTCATTTCCTTTTGAAGTTCAAAGTTTTGCCAGTTGAGTGGCACTGTCATAACATCACCACACCCCACATTTTTAGGGTCAGTCAGACTTGAAGTACTCATGGGTGCCCCCAGGAACTGCAAGGGAATGAAAAAATTCAGATCAGCCAGGCCCTAAAACACCCTCCTACCCCACCAAGCCCTCCCCTGGCTACGAATATTCAGCGTGGTTCTTTGTCCTGTCACTCCCTCTACTGGTCACTGATATCGCAGACATCTGCAGCTTGACTAAAGAAACTGAGCAATCAGGGAAACTATAATGCTCTAAAGAAGGTTTCCAGTGTCTGCACTGACTGCTACAGAATGAAGAAAAGAAAGTAAGAAAAAGGTGAGGTTTTGGAAACACTTCTTCCAGGGATCTTGCCTTACAGTCTTTCAGGACTAAAGGAAAACAACAGTCAAGTATCCAGGGAGAACAGTAGAAATGATCTTCAAGGAAAAGAATAGAAATGCAGGTAGAGAGCCTGAAATTAACTTTAGACCACAGTCACACATAAGGTTTTGAGGCAGACCTTGAAGGGGTTCAGATCTCCCTGTGGTAAAGCCTCTTTTTCTACTAAGAAGGTTACTTTTCCTCCCAAAACACCAAACTGAAGTGGAAGACACACCTGATCTTGTGCCAGTTCTTCTGCCTCCCAGTTGCTGCAACGCACATGAGGAGATTTGTCAAGTGGGCAGTTCAGGACTTTTTCAGCTAAAGACTTAAGGCTAAGGCAGTTGTGAAGTAGATCCTTCCTTCGGTTTAACAAAGAAAGTGAAACAAACATATTAAAAATTAAAGTATACACTCATATAAATTCAGATGGCCTCATAGACCCTGAACCTGCCAGAGCATAATGCATATGATGCATGACTCCCAAACAGCAGAGAGCTTCCTGTCAGCTTTAAAGGCCCTCTCCCTCCCCTCTATTAAAATGTCCTTTCTAGATTTAGTAATTATCTTGTGTCTGCAATATGCAAAACAGTCAAGGCTGAAGTGTTTGCCTCTGAAATACTCACTTCTGAACTAACGAGTTCCATCATAAAGTGATGGACCGCCTGCCCTAGGGATTCACGAGGAACCAAAGAGCCAGGAATGACTCAGAGGAATGCTGGCCACTAGAGACAAGAAGTCCATCCTCAGTGATAAAAAGGCACTATCAGGTCAGCCAACCCATGGCCCAGATCACTAATACCACACCTAGACATCCATATAACTGTACATGAAGGATACAGGCAAGTAAAACATTTTGTTTTAGGAAGAATGAAGGATAAAAAAATGGCATCATAATTGTAACCTTTCCACAGAAGCATTTTTTATTAAAAGAGAAAATTAGAACAGGTTTATTTAGTAATTTTTCAAGAAATCTTGAAATTCTGCAGTTCTACTTACATGCTCTGGGCACATGTAGCCCACACTTCTAGGCATTCAAACATCTGCTGACACAGTGATCACTTTCACTGCATTACATCACTGTGCTTGGACTTCTTAAAAGCTGAAGCAGATACTCAGAAAAGTGCATAAGGGTATTGCATGAGAAGACTAACAGACACAATTAGCAAATGAAATCCTCATGAAGATTTCATTTCCATTAAGACCACAGAATAGAGGCATGACATGTTCTTGGGCTGCAGCTGTCAATGCCCATTCTCTAAAGTCACCCTGAGAACTTCAGACCTACCAGACTGATATCATTCAGCATATGCAAATTACTTTAAAAATATTTCCAACTCAAATGATGCCTCCAACAGAGCTGCCTCTGTCTTCAGGCACTTACCGCTGTCTCATGGCTAAATACCGCAGATCCACACTCCCTTTGACTGGAAGGCCATAATCATGAAGCAGCTTGCAAGCATCTTCCCAGCATCCAACCCCAACTTTCAACACAGTACTATCTGCCATGATGTCCAACAGGGTCTTTGGGAGAGTCTGTCCACTGGCAACAAGCCTGGGCAACCGAACAAGAATGCAGAGGCCACTGGAAGAAGCCATCTGTAGCAGGGATACAGGATTTGCTCTTCCCTCCACAGATACCTGTAATGAAATAAAAAACGAGGAGTCCAGGTTACAGTATTATTAGTAATGCGGGAGCTGGAGCAAATTGCAAAAGAGGCCACTGAAGACAGGAAATACTCATCAGTCAAGTGTTGTTACATCTCTAAAATTTCACTGTAAATTATGTGATCTGTTTCACAGTATTACTGTGGCAAGCTACTTCTTGCCACACTCCTACAAGAGCATCTTTCCCCTTTTCATCCTTCCCCCTCATAGCGGAGCTGGTGAAAGAAATCAGACACATTTCTTAATCCACATCAGCACAAAGCCACCCACTACATATATATATATATATATATATATATATATATATATATATGTATGTATGTATGTTTATGGCAAATTCATTGTTTAACTGTGGCTTGTAGTAATGACTGTGGGGTGAATAAATTTCCAGCCAAAACAATGGTAAAAACAGGCTTTATAAATGGCTTAAAGCCTGTTTTGAGAGATCAGACATGCAAATGTACAAGGAAAAGAGGAACTTTACTTTCTGGTTGTCCCGGTGAGTTTTATCTACATATCAGTATTATCCTTCTTTTTGGATTTATTATACTTAAGATATTGTTTCTTAAAAATGTGGCCGGATTTAAAATAGTGTAAACCCAAGCTAGTTCTAGTAAATTACCTTCAAAGAGCTAGTACACAAAACACATAATGCTACATTTAGCCATACAATTATAACTATATTTAGTAAAGTCGATTTACCACAGGAGCTCAGTAAATAGTTAATTAAAAACATAGCATACTTAAAGGTAAGAGCAATCAAAGTTAGCAGCTATTTCACTGCTGTCAGGATAGACAATCCCACAGGCAGTTTCAACAGTCCTAGAAAATCCATTTAAACAAAGGAATCACCCCACCCTCACTGTTGCAATTTGCAATCTAAAGGAGAGGCGCTTCTTGGTCACTCACCCACTCACAATCAATTCCAAGCACCGGCCACTTCTCCAGCTCCTTCTTCAGCAATGGTTCAACACGATTCCACTCCTCCTGCTCTGAAACTATCACTATGTCTGCACCAAGGGTCCTCTCTACCCAGGAAAAGGTGGGAGATCTGAAGAAGGAAAGCACCTCCTTATCCTCTGTCTTAATGAGTTTCTCATCTCCCGACTTTATAGCTGCTTCTTCTTGATGACTACTATGGCATGCTTTTCCTTTCCGACGTTGGGTTGCTTTCCACAAAACCAGGCCTCCCACTGCAACACCCAGCAGGGTCGCCAAAGTTATTGTCACTGCTGTTTGCTTGGGCATTTTTTTTAATTTCCTTTTCTATCCCTTCACTTCACCCACACGAAACGGCATTGTAGGATTTCACCATGGCCTGCAAAGAAAAATGAGAGCTGGAAATTAAGGACAACTTAATGAAATGTGTTTAGAGATATTAAATACATGCAATGGTATACATAGCAAGGTCCTAGCCACAACTTGTGATCCTGACAGAAGAAGGACCCACTTAGACTGGGGGGTCTGGGGACAGACCACTGCAGTTGTGGATTGAGCAGTAACAGGAGACTGAATGCTGCTGTTGACTACACCACAGAAAACCTTAAAGGGAATGCATTATTTTATACTGGTGGAACTGGATGCTTCCACAAACTCTGATATTCCAAAAATAAACTAGTCATGGTTATTACCAACATCTTTTAGTCCAGTTTGGAACTAGATCAACCTAAACAAGGGCAAGATGGAATTGCTGCAGAATAAGCATGTCGGTTCATGCATTAGTAAACAATAGGCATTTGTCCATTACATTCACATCCATACTAGGGTCAAATGGCTCTTCGGGCATTGAAAAGCGCTAAAGAAGCAGCATCTTTTCATAACATAGCTTTCCCGCTATCATACAAAACCTTGGTACCCCTTCAGTAAACTGAAATCAATCCTGCCCCTGCATCCCCACCTTCCCAACCCACCCGTAGTTTCTAAAGGGCTGCCCTGACGCACTCTCCCCACACAAGCAGAAGTTCTGGTGTCGGTGCTGCTACAGCTCTGCAGAACCGCTGTCAGAACCCCGATCACGGGCCGGGCACCTGCCTAAACGCCTGCGAAGTGACAGTAATTCCCTCCCGCCTCTTAAACAGAGCCAGAAGGCTGAACACAAGCAGGGCCACTCGCCCTTACAGCCCCTCCCGCCCGTGATCCCAGGCAGCCCTCGTGCGGATGCCCCATCCCGCCGGGGCAGGGAAGCCCCGATGAGACAACACGGACCCTGCCCAGCCCGGGGGCAGCGGTGCCAAGGTCGGGGGCCCGAGCCGAACGCTCCTGCGGGGCGGCCCAGGGCTCCAGGGCGAAAGCGCCGCCCGCCTTAGGCTCGCCCGGGGATATCCCGGGAAGAGGCCCGGACGCCGCTCCGGCACGGAGGGAGCAGGCGGGAGGCCGCGAGCGCAGCGGACCGCGTACCGGGGCACCTGCGGGCGCGGCCGCCCCCGGGACGCGCGGAGCAGCCTCTCCCCCCCGCGCCCGGCCCCGCCGCCCGCCCGCGGGCCTCGCTGGGCGCCCACCGACCCGCTCGCTGCCTGCGTCTCGCGGAACGGCTGCGTCCGGCGGCAGGAACCCCCCGCGGGGCAGTCGCCACACGCACCGGGAGGCTTAGAGCGGCGGACGCTTCCTCTGTGCCGGCGGGGCGGGCGGGCGGCGGGCGCCGCCATGTTGTACGGCAGCTGGTGTTGGGGCGGCTGTGTACCTGGACAGGCGTCAGCGTGCCTTCAGCCGGGGCAGCGAGCGCTGGCAAAAATACTGAAAAGCGAGCTCTTTTCAGGAGAGTGAAAAGAGCGGCTTGTTGTCTGAGATTAGGAGGGCTCGAGGAGCGAGCCGCAGCGGGGCAGTGGAAGCCACCCGACCCGGAGGACAGGGGAGCCCCTCGGGCAGGAGGGACCGGAGAGAACAGGAAGAACAAAGGCAGCCAGGAAAATAAATAGGAATGCGTAGCCACCTCGAAGTGGCAAACTGGAAGAAAACAAAGAGGGGGGAAATCGAGCGGTAAGTATCAAGAAGTTAACAGAGGAATAATCATGACAATTGTTCCTCCCTTGTGTGTGGAAAAATACGACCGTTAGAAACGTGACACTGCAAAACAGGGACAATGAGTATTCAGGCAGCTGCTATGGTCAGGGTTATGATCATCAAGTTTTGAGGCCATCCTTGTCAAAAAGCAAACACGTTTCCAGACCAAATTCTGTTGCAAATTAAAGGATTTGAGCACACAATTTCTTACAATTCCTTTACAATTCCAAATATTTCCCAATTTTTGTGCTGTTAGAATTCCAGCTAGCAGTGTCTGTTTGAAGCAGACATTAAACCCACAAGAAAGATTGCTTTAACAATTTGACAGCATCAAATGTTGCTTTAACTTTGCCACTTACAATCATCAGGGAAGGAGGATCTCCCTAGCAAAGACTTGGCATTGAGCACACATTATCCAAGGAGTGCAACAAAGCAGCTAATGGCTGACATCAGGGAAAATCTCTGTAGAAGCAGTATTTTTTTCCATCTGTAAGTGAATGCTCAATCTTTATTGTCCCCCTTCTTATTTCTTAACTCAAGAATGCTGTATGGACCTATTGATAGCACAAAAGGAACACAAGTGATTTCCAGAAGAGCCCTTTTCTGAGCAAATAAGGCCCTCCCCTTAATCAGAAAGAAGATGACAAGGCTATTAAAGGTTGAGCAGCTACTGTTCTAAGGACCTGGTCTAAGCCAACATGGTGTGACCATGTCAGATCTCACTGGTGGTGGGGTCACACCAGCGAAGTTTGTTTTCCATTGACTTGTGTCTGTATTTTGAGCGCACAAATGCTTTATACTTCAGAGTTACAGCTTCTGTATAATAAGTGTTTCTGCAAAGCATCTCAATCCTCCTCTACAGTGAAGAGATTTTTATCCATTTTTTATATTAATCCACTAGGGGTTACAAAGCATTGCAATCTCGCACATCTTGTCACTGGTTCATTCTCCTCAACAGGGAAGGTCTGCATCTGCCTTACAGTCACGACCTGGACACAGCCTCTCCATCCATCCCCTATGCTCCAATGCACCAGACAGCTGACCAGGTGAAATGGAGGTCACCAAGCAGGAGCCAGCACTACTCTGAAGCTCCTCACACAACTTGTGCTCAGAAGAAAAGTGCATCACATGTATGCTCAGGAGAGAAAACTAGAGGGGTCTGGCTGTAACTGAGTTTCTGTAGTCGGGTGGACATGTTCTGCCTCCTTCTTTCCCTCTCTCTTCCCTTCACACCTCCCACCCTCCAAGGTATAATGCTTTGTTCTATTTGTTCACTGTAGTCTAGCATAAACCTGGATGGCCACTTGGAAGGATAGTCCCAGATTTCCTGCTGTACCTGTGATTTGACTGCTCGCTCCCTGCTCCCTTGCTCCAGCACCCACATTTCTGTAATGATGGGTCAGAGAATCCGGGGACTAATCTGGCTGTAAACGAGTTCAAGGGAAAAAGGTAACACCTGGGGACACAACAGACTTGTTTAAGGCCCAGGTGACTGGAAGGAGACCTAAGAAGATGGTTTGTCTGGGCTCCAGGATGCAGGTCCCTCGTTGTGGGGCAGGTAAGGCATTCTTAAGAGAACTCTCTCAAAGCTCAAGATGAGCTCAGAATACCAAACAAATCTGCAAAGATTGTTTGTAGCCGGACCCATTTTTAATAAACTGGCATCCACACAAAATTTTGAAATAGGCCAGTTTTTCCTTTTACAAATGTTTTACTTTAGTTTCTAAAGTAATAGAAGTTTAAGTGTACAGTTACAATAGAGAAAAAAGCAATAAAATACCGCAACATTTATTACATAATAAAAGTCTAAAAGAGAAGATGCTAGCTTTTTTCCAAGTAACAGGACTGTATCCCTGGTTGCATTTAAAGCATTTATTTTTCATGTCATCACTGACATTAGAGAGTCCTGTAAACCATAAGTATCTTTAACAGCTTGTCTTGCTATGTACATAGCCATTTATTCAAGTATAAAGATTGAATTAAAAATAAATGAAAGCAACTGATGCATGAGTGTACTCTGGCAAAAAAAAAAAAAAAAAAAACAAAAAACAACAAAACAAGTTCCCAATACCTGATGGGGGCATTGCTGAGAGAAGGTAACCAAGTGAGTAAACACCAACTGCTGGCTTAGCCTTATGTATAAGAAATCTGTTACAACAGGTAACTGGAAGCCTTTACATGGTAAATAGCAAGATTTACTTTTCTGTTTCTGTAGCATAATCTGAGATCTCTGCAGAGGTCTCTGTCAAAGGACTCAATTTTAGCCTGATTTCTTAAGGAAAGAAGGCTTATGCAATTACACTGTCTGTTGGTGTTTCTGTCTGTGGGTCCCATTATTTCCCACACTTTCCTTGCCAAGAAAGCATGTTTAAACCATTGCTCAATTCCATCTAAATTTGTACAAAAGTAACTTAAGTGAAATGAAAAGCCAAATCGATGAAACAGGTCGTAATAAAGCTGTCACTGATAAAATGGCAAGCATGTGCAGACACTGCATATACATATGAGAATGCACACAGCAGTGGCACATCAGGACAAGTCCATAGGAAACCAGGCTTCACTTGTTCTGCTGATCACAGAAAAAAAATTTATTTTTATAATTATATTAGCTCATCCTTTAGGAGGGAGAAGACCAGGGTAAATGACTCAGTGTTCAAAGGAAAATCAATGATTGTGGAATATCAAAGGAAAGAGGCTCCAGTCAAGACTAAATTGCTGGTAGCAGACAATGAGCAGAGAGCTCATTGTCCCCAGTACCTACTGTCTCCAGTAGCTCATTAATAACACTCTCTTTGGGGCCCCATCCCAAGCTACAAAAGAGAACCGAACTCGCATTTCAACTCCTTGTGTGATTTATCTTTCTCCTGTCGATGCTAGTAACCCTGTACCTACATGTGCAAACAAGCCATTTTGAGCAAGGTTTGTTTTAAGAGGGTTGATACTGGGCAGGCAGTAGGATTTCTTCTTTCCTCAAGAAGTCAGAATGAGATCAGTTTCAATCAACTGTGAAGCTACATCCTACAGGTGGAGTTTCACACTGCAACAAGGTGGATAGAAGGTTTAGCTTCTGTTGAAAAGGCAGTTCTGCTCCCCTCTTCTACCTGTTGGCATTCTTCTACAGCCTCACTTCTGCAAACGCTGGTGGCCAGTTTGATTCAAGGAATTAAGCGAGTGGAAAGCTAGCACAGAAAAAAAATTGAGATTTCTCATGGTTTAACTCCTTGTAGTAACTCACCATACAGCCAGACCTCAGTGAAACTACATCCTAAGCCAAAAGATGAGTCAGTGGTTGCTCACTGCAGGAATCTGCCAAAGTTT